AGAGGAAGGTACCCATTTACAATAAAATTTGACGCTTACTTACTGCAATATTATATTGTAAATTAAAAGTGGTTTTTAAAAACTGCTCTATCAAATGTAAATATGAGGTCAACAAGTGATGAGTCACAATGGTTATGAAAATGTAGGTAATTTTGAAATTAATAAGACAGAATAATAATACAAGGATTGAATTAAATTAAGTCAAATAATTTTGTTAAACACTTTAGATATCTTTTCATTCCTTAAGACAATCTTCAATTATCATTTTTCACATAAAAAGACATCCTTTTTATAAAATTATATTGCTCGTGAATTTTCTTATAATAAAAACTCGACAGCACAAACTGTGTAAAACAGAGCGATATGAATTTTAATCTTTATGAATACTCATGTTTACTAGATTTAATTCCAAGTGCTGTTATATATTTATTACTCTGCATATTCATAGTTTAAAACCCAGGCATGCAAATGCACATTTAAATAATGAGGTACTGCACTTAAGAAGCTTATATGCCATCAAAATATTATTCTAAAATGTGTATAATATTGGCCTTAAATTTAATTTTTTATAATTTAAAACAAGAAATTTCATAGAAGTCTAAAGAAGTGTATTGTGCGCATGTGCTAAAAGACCAGGGTAAAACGACGAGAATTTCAGAAGCTCAGTTATACCATTGTTTTTTCAAGGAACTTCCATAATGTGACAAATATAATATGATTCAACATCAGTTAATTTTACAGAATGCATGGTAAAGTCGAAGTACCTATGTTTATACTAATAGTCATTTATTCAACCGTTGAGAAGTGATTTAATTATGAAAATCAACGAAATTAACAAATAAAAGGACAAATGGTGTATAGTAAATTACATAGACGTGTTTATGGAAATTAAAATTGAATTTTGTTTAAAGTTAGGTAAAATTTTATAAATAATTTTAGTTGCTTAGAATGAGTTAATCCTCTGTTCATCAGATATTTTGACCTTTTATGTCTCCTTTAGGTTTATTCTCAAATATAGTACATGTACACAGCAACTCATCTTTAGCTTAAATCTCTGTGTTAAATGAAATGATCAGTACGTACTGGTCCCCTCTGACAAAGCAGATAACAACACTGTCTTCGTTTGTAAGACTCGTGATATATTTTGTACTTTGGAAGAACTTGGGTTTAATTCTACAAGTGGTAATCCAACTTATAGTCGTACTCCCTTTCTAATCAATAAATTCTTCAAAATCGTATGTCAGTTTTGAATACTTTTAAGATCCCAAAGAATCAAAATGAATTTGAACTACCATATCTATATCGGATTTCGAAAGTTCCTACAAATCCTTACAAACAAAGATACATAGCGGGTTCTAGTAAATACTCAACCAAATATCTTTCTTTACTCCTCACTAAGATATTAGTAGTAGCGAATGAGGAACTTCAAGAGTACTGTGCAACAATATGTTTAAAAAGTGGTGTAAATCAGATGTGGATACTTATACATTCCAAGAAACGTTTGGACAATTTGAAATCACAAGATTTTACCAAAATCAACAGCTTAAAAACCTACGACTTTTCAACTTTATACACAACCATTCCCCACGATAAATTAAAGATCAGCCTTTTTAATATCGTTGACAGCTTGGTTTTTTTAAATGAATCTCGTAAATTTACTTACCTTGTCATTAGTTATTTGCAAAATTATTTTTTTAAAAAACACTGGTTTTACATACAAGTACTCTGAAATAAACATCAAACACATGCTTGAGTTTCTGATTGACAATTTCTTTGTGGCTTTTGGAGACCAGGTCCTCCTACAATCTGTTAGAAATCCCATGGGTACCAATTGCGCCCTGTTATAATCAGACCTATTTTTGTATTCATATGACGCAGAATTAGTCCAAAGTCTTATACGTGAAAAGAAGAAAACACTTACTATTGCCTACACTTCGACATTTAGATATATCGACGACGTATTGTCAATTAAGGAAGATGGAGATAACGAACAATATTCAATATGATTTCTAGCTGTTATAAACAAAAAAATTAACCAGGGATGTAGTACATGTATTTGAAAATTCAGATACTGACTTCAATGATATATAGAGCGTAAATAAAAATACCAGAAACTGGAATCAGAGACATTAAGAAAAATGAAAAAGTCAAAAGTTGTTGAATGCGTAAAAGATGTGTCTAAATGACAAGTTTAAATCATAAAAAATGAATGAATTACAACTTCAGAAACTATGGGAGACTGTTATATTAGTAACTATAAAATTAATTCTATTAATAAAAAAAACCAAGGAGATGTATCACGATAAAAAAAGCTTCACGTGATTTTCTAAAGAAAATAAAAGACTTTTGTAGAAGGATTTGGAGATAAAGAACAGTATTCAATCTCGATGTCCATAAAACAATAGAAAATAGGAGCAGAGCAAACACGGACCCCCGAAACATCAGAGGTGGGATCAGGTGAGTGATCAAATCTACTATAACGCCCTTCGGGCGTTATAGAATTTGATCACGTGACCGACTTCATGTCATACCCCAATGCAACTCTAATGCCCTGTTCACACAACGAGTTTAATTCGCAGTAAATTAATGCGAAGTAAACAAATGCGAATCAAACTAATGCGAATTTAATTCCGTTCACACGACAGCTAATGCGCAGTAACTAATGCGAATTAAAATTCTACTTCTACGGCCAGGCGTCAGTAAGCATGGTAAGGCTATTGTGACGTCATTTGCAAATCACGTCACTTTATCCAAGAGCAGATGTATTTTATATAACGTTACTGTGCCTGTACACACATTTTAGTAATTAACACAATTTTCCTCTCTTTTTCATTCGAAAATAGCACAAGTTATTCAAGCTGACCACCGACATGTGGCATTTGACGTAATTTTGTTATTACGGATGTCTCAAAATTTAATTCGAATTAGCTTCGCAAAGCGTTCACACGAAGTTAATGCAAAGTAATTTAATGCGCAGTAAACTAATTCGAATTAAATTACTTCGTATTAAATTCTCTGTGTGAACATTAAGCGAAGCTAATTTGCAGTAACTTTACGTTTAATTCGAATTAAACTCGCCGTGTGAGCAGGACATGATATTTTATTTCTTAAATTTAGAGAGAGAGAGAGAAACAAACTTTGTAAAGTTTATTACACATACTCGTGCATATATTTGTACATTTAAAAAATCATAATACTAACATACAATATAAGTTCCTTTTTCATTTAAGATTATAAAAGTATGCATACTTTTTTATTAATGTGCATAATTTGGACATAAAAAAAGAAATATGAAGGCCGTTAGCAGGTACGCATGTACTACGCATGTGCAGAGTCGTTCCTGATAAACATCTTATTTACATATGTTAAAGAACCAATCAATCCTAGACCGAGTCAGTTGTTTGTACTTGCAAGGAACCGCCATTATGCCTTCGGTAAGCTTAATCTATTTCAATTTAGGGGTTAGTTAAGGTAAATTTGAATGGTTTTATAGATCTCACAAAAAGCAATCAGAAGCTATTCAAATATTGCAAAGTTGGAATGATTGATAGATGTAAAATCGTCATCTTAAAATGCAGTGAATTCATAATTGTAAGGAAAAATGCATTGAAATTGGTTAGATAACACAATGGAGTAAGTGACATCAACCTTATTATTGAAACTTTAACGTTTAGCTTTAGAAAGTCAGGTAGAATTTTAAGTATGATAAAAATGGCTGATAAGAATGTGTCACTCATCTAAACAGAGCGACTTTATTTAGAAACCGGGTTTTCTACTTTCGGTTTGTGTGCTAGTCTTTTAAAAACTCTTAAGATTAATTGTTATTTCAATTTTTCGATTTTCGATAACAAGGTAGTATTTCAACGAAAAAGAAGATGCATTTAAGTTTATTTTATTTATCCCCCTCATCTATTATTAAAGCCAATTGATTGGAACTTTATAATACATACAATCGTTTCTATAGTGCTTCATAATATAAACACTCTAATGTGCTTCACGTTGAAACACACATATTTAGTCATATATTTGAGTTAATCAGTATTACGCAATTAATTTCTGGCTAATATTTATTAACTTCTGATAAATTTTATGGCTTTTTACTCCATAACTACTTGTCGGTTAGTAATTCTTGCCTTAAAAATGGTCATAACCGTGAAATATAAATAATAAGAATGCAAACGAAGAGTAGCTTTTCATAGAACGTATGCATAAGGAAAATGATTTGTTCATAGTATACACTAAAATATATCACTAATAATAACATTGATGTTTCGGGGGTCCGTGTTTGCTCTGTCCCAATTTTGTATTGTTTTATTAATTTAATTTTGAATACTGGTCTTTATCTCCAGATCCTTCCAATAATGGCTGAAATTATCTTTTTAATTTTTTTAATCTCAACTGTACATTGAAATATGAAGAAAATGAATAGCAATCAGGCTAAAATAAAGAAACCTAACAAATCGAGGGGAGTTTCTATAACATAAGAAGAATTCTGTTACATAAACTCCTTTTCAGACTGAAATTTTACTTAAGATGAACAACAGTTACATGGATGCTGAATAATGAAAGTGATATATTTTTTTAAAACTGCCAGTAACTAGTAAAATTTCCAGTTACACATACAATACGCGGTATTTATTTCGATAACCACCCTTTTTTAGTTTAAAAATAATAGGCCATCAGCCAGGATAAAAATGTGTTTTTATGCTTAAGCACTGTTTGGTGCTACTTATGGAGTGTAGTTAGCCCTAGCATACAAAGGCAAATTTCAGAGGTGTTCCATATTCCCTGGCTAATTATCTCTTCAGTTTTAGTCATTTTAAATTATAATGAAATATGCCATTCCATGATTCTTTCACAAGTTTAAAACTCAAAGGACCATTGAGGTCCTTTGGCTTCTTGTTGGTATGTTAATAATTTCGTATGCTTTTTTTCTACCATCAGATAGAGCCTACTGACGATTTTTAAGAGAAGGACTCAGAAGTCGGTAGAAGATAATTATGGCCTCCAAACCTCTATCAAAAGGACAACAGAATTTTACTCAACTAGCTATAGCATGTGTCGAAGAGATAACACAGGTGTTTAAAGATACTTTTGAAACTCAAATCAAACCAAAAGATCTCTACAGTGCCATCATAAAATGTTCAAAACTGACAAATGGCAAGGACAAATTAAACCAATACCAGCATAAAATTTGTTGCATCTTTCCACCACAAGTTCCTGACTATAATAAGTTCGATGTTTCGCTGTTCTATAAACTGATGCGAAATTTGTGTCCAAGTTTAGAACCAACAACAGGCTGGGGAAATGCACCGAATACAAGTGATTTGCAAATAGGAGATGACATTGAAAGACTCAGAATATTCAGGAACGAGATGTTTGCACATTTAGAATCATCAGAAGTTCCAGATGGCATATTCTCACAATGCTGGAAAGAGTTGAAAGGATGCATTCACAGAGCGCAGAGTTTTATGGACTCGCATGGATATTGCGTTAACTATGACGAGGAACTCAAAAATATTGAAAAACTTGATTTGAGTTGCAAAGATATGGACAAATACAAACTTTTCTTGGAGGAAATAATGATAATGTGGAAATTTTCACAGAATATAGGTAATATAGAAGTTAGGAACAGAGAAATAGTCTTTCTATGTTTTTCTCATTCAGAACATTCCTTTAATTGTTGTTTTATTATTTAGATGTTCCAGTGATAACAATAACAGGAAATAGCAATATTCTTTGTGGAGATAGGACATGCTTTGAAGCCAAGACAGATAAGTGTCCCAGCAGTAATAACTGGCCAATTTCGTGGGAGAGAGTAAATGGAAGTGAAAAAAAGATCATCAACACAAGCACAAAAAGATATAAAGGCAGTACCAGTAGACGACTAGTTATACAGAGAGTTGTGAAAAAAGATGAGGGAGAATATCGAGCTGTAATATCACGAGAATTAAATGGAAGTCATTTTACGGTTACAAGTAACATGCTTTTCCTAAATGCTTTAGGAGGTACAAGCATATTACATTTTCTTTTACACTTTACTTTAACTGAAATAGCATAATCCAATTGTCTTACAGTTGGCTGTTATATTTGTCAAACGAAATCGATTCATAAAAAGACAAAATAGTATTTAATTTATTAACTTACAGTCCAGTCATAAAAAAATCTATGTCAACTTAGGTTGTATTTTGTTTTACATTGTGTCAAAAGACGTTAAAATTCTAACAATAATATGCTGTCATGCGATAATAAAGGGAAAAATATTATTGTTAAATGAAGTTCATCATTTATTGCATCTGTAACCATGTGTAAAATCTAAAATATATATATGAATAAAAAATAAGATCATATTTTACAGATCTTCCTAATCTAGAGATATTCCAGGCAACTTCAGGAATGGATGATGTCACTATTCTTTATCATTGTGATATTGAAAAGACATCTCCTGTAATTGAAAAAATTGAGTGGATCAAAGATGGAGAACCATTGTCGATGAAGGCAAATAAGTACAAAGGCGGTGGTGTCACAGACAGGTATCTGAAAATCCTTTCTCCATCAGCCATCGACAGCGGTGAATACAAATGTAGAGTTTTCAATGCAGTGGGAAAGCGAATGAAGCGAATAGTGCTGGGTATTATAAATTAAAACTTTCAGTTTTGTACATATACCATATGACATGTATATTATTTAAGAAAAAACAGACAAATCATAAGCTGCATCTGTTTTTAAGAATGTTTACTTTCATTAGTTCTCCGAGGTCTTCGTATTCGTTTTTAAGTTGGAGTGAAAAGAAGATTAACTTACATTATAATTGCATTTAACAATATATTCCTTCTAGCTACCCCATCTGTAGCGATTTGCAAAGAACTGACAGTTCCACTAGGTGGTCAAGTCACTATTACTCCTGAGATACAGTCATGTCCTTCACCAGAAAAAGCAATTTGGCAAAAAAGTAAAACTCAAACTCCTGAAGAATTTCTGACGATAGACATCGACGATGCTAGATATTCTGGAAGCAGTTTGGATCCAGAGAAACCTATTCTTGTCATTTCAAAGGCATCCAATGCTGACAATTTATATTACCGACTAGAAATCACCAATGGAATTGGGAAGTCTACAAGCAATGCAGTTTTGCTGAAATTAGTTGGTGGTGTGTAGAAATATATATATATATATATATATATATATATATATATATATATATATATATATATATATATATATTGAAAATTGTTTAAATAGTATCACTCTAAATGAACAATAAATTGTTTTAACAGTTTATCTTCACTTGATCTGTAAGACCATTTTACGTCATTAATTCCGAATAAAAAAAATTAACTTATGTATATGTGTATCCTTATTTCTTTTTTATTCTCTAACAACAGGAGATGATTTCCTCTGCCCAAAGTTTATGTTCATGATCCAATTAGACTAAAAAAAATAATCTTTACTGTTTAGAGAATCGTTTCATGCATGATATTACTTTTTCAATCTATAGTAAAAATGATCTTGGTTTTTCATTGCAGATGTTCCTTCCGTGTTTGCAAACCTTGAAACTAATATTGCAGATCGTAGCGTCACATTTCATTGCAAAATCTCTCTTTCGATTAATTACCCAGAGGTGACAGAGATCATTTGGATAAAAGATAGAGAGTACATTGACACTTCAACAAGTGGAGGGAAATTCGCTGGAGGTAGTATTGCTGATCCCTCACTAGTAGTTCACAGTGTGAATTCGAAAGACACTGGTGAATATCAATGCCGTGTGTCAAATGCAGTTGGATCAATGTTGAGTAAACCAATTCATCTGGGTAAGCAAAGCCATATTAAATTGTGTAATAATACATGTAATTGTATATGAAAGGTACAAAAATTAGATTAAAATGACAGGCATATAGATTCTTTCGGTTTGTATATATTACCAGGCAGGCATATTTAAGCCTGACCAAAGCATGCACATTGGTATGGGACATTTATGAAATTGAAGGCAACAGAAGATAATTTTGGAACCTTTGAAAGGTAGTTGAGATAAAGTAAAAAAGAATAAAAATTGAATTTGTTTAAAATTGGTGGAAACACGTACAATAGAAAAAACATCTATTTCCTTATCATTTATTAACATTTATCTGAGATTTCTACAATCCATGGACCTTTTCCTGTCACGTATGTCTGAGTAAATGTTCTGTCCTATAGAGCTACATGTCTGCTACAAACCTTTATGTTGATTTTGAAAAGGTCAGTAATTTGAAAATTCTGGAAAAAGGTTCAAATCAAAATTAATTGAAATACAGTTGTATTACATTGGTAACTCTACATGTAGCTCTCTGTGGAATAGAAAAGTAAAAGATCATTTATGGGAATAAATTTTGATTAAAATTTTACATAGAAATATATAGGAAAAATCTTTGAAAATCTTCTTCTCAAATACCACTGGGCCAGGAAAGATGAAACTCATGTGGAATCATCCTCAGGTAGTGTAGATTCTAATTTGTTTAAATCATGACCCCCAGGACTAGCGTGGCCTACCAAAGTTTTACATAGAAATATATAGGGAAAATCTTTAAAAATCTTCTTCTCAACAACCATTGAGACAGGAAAGATGAAACTCATGTGAAATTATCCTCAGGTAGTGTAGATTCAAGTTTGTTCAAATCATGACCCCCAGGGCTAGGGTGGGGCCAAAATGTCCGACCAAAGTTTTAGTTAGGAATATATAGGGAAGTCTTTTAAAATCTTCTTTTCAAGTACTTCAAAGCCATGATTAGTGATATTTATACAGAATCATCCTCAGGTAGTGTAGATTTTAGTTTGTTCAAAGTATGACCCCCTTGGGGGGGGGGGGGGGTCAAAATTCAAATCCCCTCCCCCTTTACCTCAGGTAAACTTTCAGGTTTGATTTGATAAGTGCTTTTTCCTAGCCGATGTGCTCAGGTGAGAGCTATGGCCTCTGGGCCTCTTGGGTTAGATTGATATCGATGTCTCTTTCTAGTTAATTATACAGTATGAAACAGACATGCCAGTCTTTGTGGTATTTTTTATCTCAAGTTCAACGAGATTTCCATGCAACGAATCAATCTAAGAATAAAAATGAATATCGATATAACTTAATGTTGAATTGAGGGCTACAGCAAGAGACATTTGATGAGAACGCTTTGAATAAATTCTTCCTCATATGAATACAAAACTAGCTCTGCTTATAAAGGGTTGCAGTTTGTACCCATGGGAATTTCGACAGAAGATGTAAGAATCGGTTATATATTTTTGTTATAGGAAAGCCTATGGTTCAGATCGGAAGACCAGAAAGGGATGAAAAAAATGACATATTAGTCTGTAAAGCTGCAATTACATCTATTCCGGAGGCCACAAAAGCCGAATGGAGAATTCAGCAGTCCAAAGAAGACGATTTTCAACCAATAGATGTTCATGATGCCAATTACAGAGGTTCTACTGTTTCCTTACCACATCCAGTGCTGATTGTTCGTGGATATAGCAATAAACAGGGTCAACGATTTCAAATTAGCGTGTCCAATTTCGTCGGAGAAACTAGAGAGGTCATTCTTGGTAAATCTGGTACTAAATTATACTTTGTATTTCTTAGTGCAAAAATCATTTTCAAATTGCTTCACCATGGTGACTGATCGTAAAGATCTTTTATTTGATAGGAGTTAACATCGGGATTGTGATATCCCAGTCCGATTTGAGACGCGTAATTATTATATAGAGATGAATCTCCCTTTCATAGGTGCTCGCATCAGCATTAGAATTCAAAGTCGTTTGGGTAATACCTAAAAAAAAAAGTTTAAGGCAGTGGCACAATATTGCTGGGAAGCACAATGCTATGGCCAAAACTTTGTAGCACATTTCCTACAGCAAGATAAAATTCTGAGTACAACATTTTCGAATGGAGCATTTACACAATATGCCTTTATTTTAACCATAATATATTTAATTTTTATACACGTATTGGAAAGATGAGAATAAAGACAGTGGTTAAATTCGTAGAACATGTCACTCTAACAAGTAGCTGGTAGAGAAAAACACATCTCTGAAAAGACAGAGGTGGGAATAGTTTCTTAGGGGAAGTAAGCATCACGACAATCCGTCACTATCATTTTGAGTTCTTATCTTGATCAAGTTACCAGATTTTGAGTTCATAGTCCACATTTGCATAAATATCAACAATTAATATGATACGGTATACATATCAAAATATAGGTGTAAACTTTATAAATTTGTTTCTCCAAATCGACATTAACAATTTCATTCAAAATTATCCTAAATCTTTCATGAATAATTGAATTGCAGATTGACTTCAAATAATGTTATAATGTTCCGTAACAGAAAAAAAACTAGTGAAAATAAAGATTTTGTCATTTTAAGCCGTTTCGAGGATATCACTGGCATTGAAACTGAAGCTTAATCAAATGCTGTCGTGAAATCTGAAATTAGAGAATAAACATAAGGCATTTCGAAAACTATGGGGAAGTATAATTTATAGCTCTTCATTTTGATTTTGAAAAATATAAAAAAAATATATACACATTATTTTATAATAATGTCTCCAGGGGGTACTCATTCATCCATGACAACTGATCCCACCTCTGATGTTTCGGAGGTCCATGTTTGCTCTGCTCATGATTTGTATTGTTTGAATGGACTTTGTTAACTACTGTTAGTTATCTTCATATATTTCATTTTTGTAAAACACAACTTTACTTTCATTGCTAATTTTCTTGAAAAATTTTCATTTTCTGTCTTCACGGAGCTCTCTTTAAGTGTTTTATTCACACTCTTAAATTTCCTCAAAATTTCAACAAAGTCAAATTATTATTGTTTTGTCGTTTCATTACCTTGAAAACAGCCGTAATTAGGCAAAAATATGTCCATTATTGAATTTACTCTCTAATAATCTCAACTTATTCAATAGTAGTTCATAGAATTATTTTTAAACTCCTAGGGGCTAGGTCCCTTTTCCTTTTCTAGATTTTTAAGTCAAAAGGGACATTTATGCCTTTTATTTCAGCCGATAGCTTAGTCAAAGGGTTAGTTCTCTTGTATTCCTTAATAAATTTTCATCTGTTGAACAATTTACTTTGTTCTTATTAAATGAAATTTTACAAACGTACAATATGGGTAATTTTAAACTGAACATGTCACTTCAATTGTATCAGCATACTAGACTATATTATTGAACCGTAATTCTTCAGGTAATTTTCTCGGTTGAAGAGGTTTTTTTAATTGTTATTATTTTAAACTATATTAAATGAGGTACTTTTATCAATGTTTCTATCAATATATATATATTACAGACAGGAAACGGAAAAATGAAGGTCATGATCGGGAGAAACATGGTAAGATTAATTGCTCCCAGGAAATCATCAAAAGAAAATATTTGTTTCACTCATTGTTACTGTTTGATGCTTGTAATTGACTGACTACTTATTGAATTGAAATTTTTATTCACAGATAAAAGAATGAAATTTTATCGAAAAGGGGGCTCAAAAATCCCTTTTGCTAGTCTAAAGGACGATCTTGACAGCTCATTTCCAAACAAGAAATTAAAAAGGTTAAAACAACTACTGATTGGTAAGTAAACTGTGATTTTTTGCGGTTGAATATTTCAATCTTTTTTTCCAACCAAATTGATAAAAATGTTGAAAAAAATGAAACAATTATTGTTTAAATATGTCTATTTTGAGCCTCCAGGGTTATTGATAAATATTGGGGGGGGGGTGTTTAAAGATCTGGTGACATGTTGGACGGGAAATGAAGATATTCTTTTTATGCCCCCGTAATCGAAGATTCGGGGTATATAGTTTTTGCCCTGTCCGTCCGTCAATCAATCAGTCAGTCTGTCTGTCTGTCTTTTAATCTGTTTTGATCTTTTAATATGTTTGTCCGCAAAGTCTTCAATCTTGCGCAGAACATTTGATTGGTTGAGGCTATGGTTTTCATATTTCCCATGTGTATTTTTTGTGACAAGGCCTTTCTTTGGGTACCACCAAATTCGACCTTTTTTCCTTAACCTCGGAGTCTGACCCAGTTTTGCAAAATTTTACCCAGCGGTAACCGTGGCCATAACGTTTGAACAGTTGGTGCTAGTGCTTTCATACTTATCATGTGTAATCCTTTATTTAGATACCAACAACTTTTACCCTTTGACCTTGATCTTAGAGTTTGACCTACTTTAAAAAAACTTTCGCCATAAATTTTGAGCAGGTTGTGCTAGGGTCGTCATATTTCATGTGTATTTCTTTTGAGAAGGCCCTACTTTGGTTACCCACATATCGATTTGCATTTGAAAAAAGTTTAACGTTAAGTTGTCACACGGAGACATCAGTGATTCACAAACACATATTGTTTTTCTCTTCCCCTTTATCAGTTGCATTTAGATTCATTATAACTTATTTGATTTTTAGCTCACCTGAGCTGAAAGCTCAAGTGAGCTTTTCCGATCACATTTTGTCCGTCGTCCGTCTGTCTGTATAGCTGTCTGTCCGTCTGTAAACTTTTCACATTTTTGACTTCTTCTCCAGAATGCATGGGCCAATTTCAACAAAACTTGCCACAAAGCATCCTTGGGTTAAGGGGATTCAAGTTTGTTCAAATGGAGGGCCACGCCGTAAGGGAAGATAAATGGGAATTAGTGAAAATTTGGTGAAATGTTTTAAAAATCTTTTTCTCAAGAACCACTGTGGCTGGAAAGATGATACTTATGGGAAATCATCCTTAGGTAGTGTAGATTCAACTTTGTTCAAATCATGACCCCTTGGTGTAGGGCGGGGCCACAAGATACAATCGAAGTTTTACATAGAAATATACAGGAAAAATCTTTAAAAATTTTCTTCTCAAGGACAGCAAAGCCATGATGGATTATACTTATTTGGAAGCATGCTTGGGTAGTGTAAATTCAAGTTTGTTCAAATCATCACCCCCGGGGGTAGGGTTGGGCCATAAGGGGGAATCAAAGTTTTACATAGAAATATGAAGGAAAAATCTTTAAAAATCTTCTTTTCAAGAACAGCAAAGCCATGATTGGTCATACTTATATGGAAGCATCCTTAGGTAGTGTAGATTCAAGTTTGTTCAAATCATGACCCCTGGGGGTAGGGCGGGGCCACAAGGGACGATCAAAGATTTACATAGAATAAAATAATTGAACAACTTTGGATGTAAAATTTTGTTGCGTTTTACGAGTTCAAATTTACCACGCAATAATACAACCGTAGTAACGGAAATGATGTGAAGCGAGGGGAGGTAATAGCTGATACATTGATCTAGCAGCCATGATGTGTGTAAACGTGAGGTAAGATCGAGTTAGTGTTTGAAATTAAAGATACAGTTATTAAATTTTGAATTTTCCATCGGTTCAGAGGACTGGAAATAAGGGGATTGCATGGATAAGATGATTAAGCTGGTCGTCAAGGGGGTGTGTCCCTATACCAAACCGGATTACACAAAATATTTTGCGTTCCTTTTTGGAAATCAACCAATGAGAGGCGAGAATAAAAACAAAATTAAATTATATAAGAATATATAGAAAAAAGCTTTAGAAATCTTCTCAAGAACAGCAAAGCCATAATTGATCATATTGATATGGAAGTATCCTTAGATAGTGTAGATTCAAGTTTGTTCAATTTATGACCCCGGGGGATATTGAAAGTTTTACATTTTAATACACAGGATTTTTTTTCTCACGGACACAACAGAGCCATGATTAATCCTATTATCATTGAAGCATTCTCAGGTAGTGTAGAGTATTTTTGTTCCAATCGTCACGGTCGGGGAAGGGGGCACATACTTCAAGGGTAAAAAGAAAAAAGCCATGTTTAAAGAAATATGCAGGCATCTTTGTTAGCGTAGATTCAAGTATTCAAACTTATTCAAAGCACATCCCCCTCCACTAGCCACAGTGCTCAGGTGAGCTATGTGGCCAATGAGCCTCTTGTTGTCTTTTGATACGTTACCAATGATAGTCACATGCCAGAAATGACGGACTGATTAAAGTTTGTGAAAGTTGGTAAAAATTTAAATAAATATATATTTTTAATTTTTCATAAAAAAAATTGTCTGCTTTATAATTTTTTTATGTTCAGATCAAGAAGAGATAGAAGAAGACTCTGTATTTGCCTGTAATTCGTTGTGGGACATTTTAAATATCCTGATACAGAGAGACTTGTGCAGCAGAAATGATGTTATATTTGTACAGTATTTGCTACGAACGATAGGATGCCTCGACCTCTATGAAACGTGTTACAAGTACGCTAAAGATTGTGAAGCGCTTTGTTTCTTTGAAAGTCAACCAGGTACTATTTTAGTACGTACAATGTATTCTTTCAACAAGTAACTGACACATGGTCACATGAATATGATAAACTGGTATAGTTATATTTACAGAAAATGGCTGTAAGAATGTCAAGTTTCACATAGATGGCAACATCGAAGAATACTCAAAGGAGGATATTCTTTTTATACAAACAACAGTTGCAAAAATGTTGAAATGCCCTACCGATTACATTGTCATTAGTGGACTAGAACATGATACAAGCTTTCTACTAATTCTGTCAATTAAAGATGAATATACGAAGTTATTACTGGAACATGCTCAACAAATTTTAGAAGATCTGTGTTTTTTGAAAGTGGATTATATTGAATATGATGAAATTCTTATCCATAAGGAAAACATTAGTCAGGGTAAGAAATTACTTACATTTCACTTTCTTACGGTAATTCTTCAAAATCACATTTTGGTGTTGTATACTTTTTATACTTGAACTTTCATTTTCCTGTCTACCAAAGTCAGTTCGTTCTACCCTTACTATATTATATTTTTAAAACTCCCTAAGAATCCCTACAAACAAATCTACATTGCTTTGTCAAATAAATGCTCTATTAAGCCTTTATCGTTACTTCTGACAAAAAAATTAACTGCTGTTAGGGAGAACAAATTTACTTTTATCCTGCTTTAGGATTTTATAGTAGTGGTAAAAGAAGGATATGGAGATAACGAACAGTATTCAATCTCAAAGTCCATAAAACAAGCAAACACGGACATCCGAAACATCAGAGGTGGGATCAGGTGCCATGGAGGAGTAAGCATCCCCTGCTGACCGGTCAAACCCGCCGTGTGCTCCTTGTCATGATCAGGAAATAACAGAAAAAATCCGTGGTCAATTCAGTGTATGAATAATGGACTAACAATTATTATGAAAAATGTCAGTCAGCATTTGACTCAATGATAAATTATATTTGCTGACAAGGTCATTGTATCGACCATAGAACTTACAAAATGATGACTTTTAACGAGACGGCTGATATTCTTGTTTCATCAACTTGCTTGTCAATAATTTACTTCGTTTTAGAATTTATCCATCCGAACAGCAAGCTCTTGCGTATCGAATCAACTGAGATATAAACACTCTGTATGCAGATGACGAAGGTATATTTAAGGATTAACTGTCTTATTAGCTCTTCTGAGCCAAAGGCTCAAAGAGCTAATGCTATGGCCATTTGTGCGGTGTGCGTTAACTTTTTAGAATATGGGCCATAACTCAAGAACCCCTTGGCCAATCAGTGTCAAATTTGTCGCAGGGTATCCTTGGCCCAAGGGCTACCATTTATACTAAAATAAGGGTTGGGACCCTAAAACAAGGGGAGATAATCAGGAAAACAAAACCAAAAGTACTGGTTGCTAAAAAATCTTCTTCTCCAGAACCACTGGGCAGATTTTCACCAAACTTACATACAAGGATTAGGATATGTTGAAGATTAAAAATTGTTCAAGGCATGACCCTGGGGCAAAGAGCGTGGTCTCAAGGTCACTTCAAATTTGACCTAAATTTACAATTAATAAAAACGTGTATATTTTGCTTACTATAAGGACTAGGATCATCAAATCTTGTAAGTTGATGCATCTTACGACTTCACATCATGTTAACTCAAAAGTAGGTCACGGTGACCTACTTTTTAAATTTTGCGGGGATTTGTTTTCAAATTGATTTGAAGGCATATTTTGGACACTTTAAGGCCTATGATCATCAAACTTTGTCAGTTGATGCATCTTGGGTCCTCAAACACTGTCAACTTAAAAGTAGGTCACTGTGACCTACTTTTTGAACTTTATGACTTATCCTTTTAAAAACATTAAATCCCATTATTTCAGACACTGTGAGGTTTAGAATCATCAAAACTTGTACTTTGATGCATCTTGGGACTTTAAAATATATTTATGAAAAAGTAGGTCACTGTGACCTACTTTTTGAATTTTGCTGACTTTTGTTTTCAAATTGTTTAAATCGCATATTTTGATTACCTTCAGACCTACAATCATCAAACTTGATCAGTAGATGCATCTTGGGTCTTTGAAAAATGTCGACCAAAATATAGGTCACGGTGACCTACTTTCGACATTTTATGGCTATATTTAAGTATCTTAGGTATTTATTGGCTTAGAATCTTTAAACTTTGTGAGTCGATGCATATTTGGTTTTCGGAGAGTGACGACCAAAAAGTAGGTCACGGTGACCTACTTTTGACATTTTATGGCTTTATTTAAGTATCTCCAGTACTAATTGGCTTAGCATGATCAAACTTT